AAACCATCCGATGTTGACATCAAAAGAGATAAATCATTTGTAAAAATCGAGTCATGTATAATTTTATTTAATCGTTTATTGACACCTGATAATGAATAAAGTATTTCTGCATTAGACAATTTTTTAAAAATATAAATAAGAATTTCATCTGGTAAATCATTCAATTGAATACATGAATATTCCATGATTATCTATATCTATATCTATTTTACTCATCTCATAAATGTCAATATATTTATATTGACATACTCAAATATTCTCTTTTTGACCGATGTCGTCCATAGAACCAATGATACATTTTTCTATAATCTTAATTGACGATGAATCAATGGATAATCATTCGAGTAATTTTTTTTCTTTCTCTATTCCCTTGACTGAAGGGGTGATCACATATGAAAAAAAGAAAAAGAAACATTTGTATGTAATCATCGATTCATCTAAATATAATGGAATTGATTTTTTTAAAGAGGATGTGCGTTTGGATAGGAGTCTTTCTTAGTACATCCACTTGTAACCATAATGTCAAATAACCCTTAATGGTCGAAACCGTGACCAAAAATAACCTTCCTAGGTCAAGTTACAGCTTGAAGAAATCTGATTGGCTTAAATCTACCTCCCCACCTAATGTTGAAATCCTATTGGTTGAAACCACAATGTCAAATAACCCATAATGGTCGAAACCCCGACCCAAAATAACCTTCGTCGGCCAAACCATGGCTCAAAGAAATCTGATTGGCTGAAATTTGCCCCCCCCCCCTTCACAGTTTAAAATCCTTTTGGTTGAAACCGCAATGTCAAATAACCCTTAATGGTCGAAACCCCGACCCAAAATAACATTTCTGGGCCAAACCATAGCTTGACGAAATCTGATTGGCTTGGACAAACAAACAAACTTTAACGATTTTTAACGAGCCTATAACCCTTTCTTTCAGAAAAGGGAAAAATGTTGTCTAGAAACAAACAAAAATAACAACAAATATATTTTTCTTTATTTCTTTTATTAAGTTGATTTTTTTCTGTCTGAATGACAGTCAATCAGCATGTCCTTTTTTTTTATCGAAAGACTGCACACATACAGGGTGATCCAAAAGTCTTGGTACCTCTCAGAAAAATTGCTCGTTTTTCCTTATAGTAAAATCCAAAATGCTCAAACGCTGATATCTTATTCTATGTAACGTGGCGAATATTATCCTAAATTTTCATCTCACTATCCTGAAAAATAAGGGAGATGCATAGACTAACATTTTTGAGATCTTATTTTTACCAGGCCACAAAAATGATGGTTGGCGCATAATACATGTAAATGGACTACTTTTGTATCTCATTTTTCCGCCATTTGATACGCTCTATTAAGAAAACAAAATATACCACACGATGCAGCATGAAAAGCTCTACAATCTACATAGTGCAGCATATTTTAACTATATAGTTTTTGTTTTCGAAAAAAAGCAAAAATTTGTGTAATCAATTTTTAAGATAGTCCAACAAAGTTTTGCTTTTTTTTTGAAGACAAAAATTACATAATTGAAATATACTGTACTGTGTAGATTGTAGAGCGTTTCACGCTACATCTTGTGGTATACTTTGCGTTTTTTTAATAAAACTTATTAGGTGACAAAAGGAGTAAAAAAAGATGAATTTTTTGTTCGTGTAGAAAAAAAGATTTCTTTTATGACGACCATATTTGATCGCATAGAGTTTTGCTATTTGTTGAAACCAAAAACTATATAATTAAAATACGCTTTACTGTGTAGATTGTAGAGCTTTTTACGCTGCATCTTGTAGTATATTTTGTTTTTTTTTTAATAGAACGTATCAAATGGGGGGAAAATGAAATACAAAAGTAGTCCATTTACATGTATTATGCGCCAACCATCATTTTTGCGGCCTGGTAAAAATAAGATCTCAAAAATGTTAGTCTATGCATCTCCTTTATTTTTCAGGATAGTGAGATGAAAATTTAGGATAATATTCGCCATGTTACATAGAATAAGATACCAAAGTTTGAGCATTTTGGATTTTACTATAAGGAAAAACGAGCAATTTTTCTGAGAGGTACCAAGACTTTTGGATCACCCTGTATAATCTCGTTTTTTATTTTCAAAACTAATTTTTCACCTTATATCTGCAAGATCAGTTCAAAACACATAAGAATTGGACAAATCTTTGAAAACATACTTTTAGCAGTAATTTATAATCTCTAACAGATATTATTTATTGTTATCCAAATGTAAAACAAATTATTATTGAAAGTCTTTTATCATTTATTCTATCAGTCAAATGACAAGAAAAACAAGATTACAAGAGAGGAAAATAATCATAGAAATGTTTTCTATGTACTAATGGTCTTTCAAAAAGTAATTCTTTCACTTGAGTACAATTGCATTGTCTTGCATCGATTGTAAAGCCGAATGTTACCATTTCTAATCCATCATAATTGACTGCTAATTTGGTTAGACGTGGTAGATGTGTTCTTTTCTGATCGAGAAACTGTTCGACATAATGAATATAACTCGACCGTAGATCAAGTGAAATTAGATTTGGATATTCAACAATTGAATACAATGGATTATTGTCAATATTCCAATAGTCTTTCATCCTTGATTGTGGTTCAAAATTAATAACACTTAATATTTTAAGGAAAGGAAAAAAGCGCGCGATTCGAAGAAAAAATTCATGTGCGAATGGGATTATATCATGTACCATCAAATCTGTAACATGACTAAAAACTAATGAAAGAATAATCAGTTATTATTTACTGTATATAAGATTTGTATTTAAATTTCTTACTTGTAAAATATTGTGAAATAATATGATTGTTAACATTATAAAGTTTAAGTTCAGTTAGATTAGGATAATCAGCAACACGAAAAATACGTTCCATAGATTCTGATTCGAGAGTAAGTGATTTAATATCGTAATTAATTTAGGGAAGTATACTAATGCAAAACCGATCAATTATTGAATCAGCAATCGACGAAACACTATCATATGATGTTGTTAATACGAAATTGAGACTTGTGGTAAAAGTTTTTTCTTGTAATATCATATCAAATCGTTGATTATCAATATCGAATAATGAATAGAGAAAATCTATATTGTTAAGGATTTTTAAAATTTTAAGTAATATTTCATTAGGAAGATCAAGAAGATTAACATTTGACTGATGCATATTGACTGCAACAAACACTCTAATTAAGATGCATATATATATATATCTGTTTGTGTCTATTTCAGTCACTGAATAAAATGAATGGATGACCTGACGAGAAAAAATATATAATGCCGATGAATGGTCGAAAAAAGTCATTGATAAATATTTTTTTCTCTTTCTTCATAATTTCAGTAGAGTAGATTGGGACTATTCTGAACGTCTTTTCGAAAATTGCAATTAAAAGTCTTATAACTTTTTCATTTTTTGTTATTTTTCAGAAAAAAAAACTACTGATAGATAGCCTGAAGTGTTCTCTACACATCTATCTAAAAATTTTTGAAAAATACCTTTCCGAATTCGTTCAGCACCTATTTTGCTAGAAGCTCCGTCGTTTGTTCATAATAGCCCCGCTTGGAGCTATTATGAACATATGCTAAATAGTATGGGGCTATTATGAACACTCACCTAAAATAGCTGGAAAAAATGATCTTCATTCCAAATCACTTAACTCATCATTTGAAAAAGATTAATCAATAATTTTTACAAAATTAGAAAGAGTATCTTTGATAGTACAATCGGTAAGATTGACTCGTCAAAATTCTTTATTTTGAAGTAATACTGATGAAAATAGTAAAATGTAAAAAAATCATTTTTGTTCATAATAGCCCTATATGGGGCTATTATAAACACCAGTTAGATATAGTGGGATAATTCTGAACACTGCTAAAATAATAACAATATTTAAATTTTGGAGTGTGGGTGTGGGTGTGGGGTGTGGATGTTGATTGGATAAGTAAACGAGACACCCACACTCACCCACACACCCACACCCACCCACACCCACACCCACCCACATCCACACCCACACCCACACCCTCAAGAAAATTTCTGCGACTAATAAATTGCTATTGAGTCGAGACTATGTGCATTATGTAAACCCAAATGAACTTTGAATATCCTCAAAAAGAATTTGTGCCCTTAGTTTATTCTCATTAAAACCTGTATCTATGCAAAGTTTC